GATAATGCTGGCCTGTAAAGTAAGATTGGGAGCCTTTCCTCTACTTGAAATTTTTGAATACTTTGAGAATAGGTGTTAGTTCTTTTTTTAAAAAATTTACTTTTATTGTTGAAAGAATTACAGCTGGCCCTTTTTTCCCCCCGTTGACCCCTTCTACTCCACACCCAGCCCCTGGCCCCGGCCTTCATCACACTATTGTCTGTGTCCATGGGTTATGTATATACGCATGTAAATTCTTTGGTTAACCTCTCTGCCCCCACCCACTCCCACCTCCCCTCTGAGATCCCTCAGTCTGTTCCATGCTTCTATGTCACTGGGTCTATTTATCAGTTTATTTTGTTCTTTAGATTCCACATATAAGTGAGATCATGTGATACTTGTCTTTCTCTGGCTGGCTTATTTCATTTAGCATAACACTCTCCAGGTCCCTCCATGCTGTCCCAAAGGGTAAGAGTTCCTCCTTTTTACAGCTGCATAGTATTCCACGGTGTGAATGTCCCACAGCTTTTTTATCCACTCATCTACTGAGGGGCCCTTGGGCTGGTTCCAGATCTTATTTAGGGTGGTGGACATGCCGGGTGACACAAGGGCCCCAGCTAGCTTCAAACTTACTAATCCTGTTGGGTGTGTGTGGAAGGAGGGGGGAGGAGAGACAGGAAATAAAATAATCACTAACGTTTAAAATTTTTATAGCTACTTAATAAGTACATAAATTATGTGTACAACTCAATGCATTATAACAAAACTAATACACATGTGCCTGTTACCAGAAGCCGCTCCTACTGCTTCTCCCACTCACAACCCTGTGTTAAAAATGGACCCGGGATTTGTTCTAATCAGGTACAGTAAGACATGACCTGGGCGTGATTGTCACAAAGGAAGAATCCGTATTCACAGATGCCTGGAAATAGGAAGCATTCAGTGCGACACCACATGGGATCTGGGAAGCACTCCGGTCGCCCAGGAGGCACAAAGCGGAGAAGGCAGAGCATGGCTCAGAGCCTTCCGGGATTCTTTCAGGCAGGAATGGGCAAGGCAGGACAGGTGTACTAGGTTTAGGTTAGACAGTTTAAATAATTTTGGGTGGCTCTGGCCTGGCTACACAAGCAGTCTCTAGCTGTTTGGTACCTGTGCTGGGGTGGTTTAGAGCAGGGGGAACATTGTCTTGGCGTGTAAGTTTGATAAAGGAGATATTTGAGTGTGGTCATTGACTTTATATCAAAGGTACACTCGCAGAGGCATCCGGGGGTCATTTGCTATCTCTAGGAATTTGCTCTGGTAGTAGCAGTCTCTCTAGGATCAAGGCCCCAACTACCAGAGCATTGAGAATACAGAAAATAAGAAAATATAATCAGTACATCCCCCCTTCTTCTGCAAAGAGAACCTCTCCCCTGACTTCAAACACCATGGGTTAGTTCTGCCTGTTTTTGAACTTTCTATACCCAGGACCACACAGTTCTTTTGTCTGCTCTTTCCATCCACAGTATAGTTATGAGATTCAGCTGTGTTGCAAGCATCTCTGTGGTTTGCTCACTTTCACTACTATATATTATTATGCTGTATTTATTCATCTGATCTGATGGGCGTTTATGTGGTTTCCAAAGAGGGTCTAATACAAATCCTGTTGCTGTGAACATTCTTGTACATGTCTCCAGGTGCACGTGCTCACACACATTTCACCCTGGGGGTATGCGTGAGCGCCAACCACTGTGCCCAACCGCTGTGCCACCTCGAGTGTGTAAGCATCTCTCACCTTTGATTGTGCCCATTTATATTTTAAAGCCACAGTAGGACACTCCAGTGTCACTTGACAGAATCATTACTTTGCCTCAACACTAGACAGTAAATGTATTGATTGATCGATGTGTAAAGATCAATTTTGTCGGAACCTTATACGTATACATATTGACTTAGGAAATGGCTTCATTTTATATTTCACCCAGATTGCTAACTCCACGTAAGCACAAATACAAAATGTCAGGAGAAAAAATGAAATTCAGAAAACTTTTTCCTTCGATTTATGCGCCTCAGTTTTTAACTTAGCAGCTGCTCAGCGCAGCCTCTGGCCCCTGACTTTCTCACACGGCCTCTGCAGCAGCTGAGTGGTGCTCCCGAAGCGGCTGTCAATGGGTGTTGGTTTCTTTATTTAGTAAACTGTAAGCACCCTAAATCTTGTTATTAAACTCCTCCTGCTTTTACAAAACAAGGGAGAGTATTTAGATCTCCCGTGGATGGATCTTCCTGGACCCTTTTTACTCTAAACAAGCTCTCAGAGTGAAAAACAAATACAGACCCATTCACAGTGTATTATTCATAATTTTTTTAAAAAGGGACTTTTTTCTTTGTTGCCATTTCATGTTGAGATCTGTAAGAAAAGAGGGGAGAAGTTTCATGAATGCAGAATTGTTTCAGACCCTCAGCCACTATGAATTTTGGTGAAATTTCATACCCAGGCATTTAAAAGGGAAACAAACAGCCCACCCACAGGAATAGGGGTGCAGCCTCGCTGCGAGGGGAGTGCTGGGTGCGATTCACCCCGGTTTCTGAAGGGAGTGAGATCAAGACTGTTGTTTGGAACTGGGGGCCCAGAGAAAGGAGGCGCCCACCAGGAAGGGCTCTGGCGGCCAAATAAACTCAAGTTCATAAAATAGAGCCCCGCAGCCATTTCCGCACACGGCCCGGCCCGAGGGAAGGGCC